TTCGTTAAAATTGAGCTTGACGCTCACCTGAGTTGAACGCGAGGTTCACCTTAGAACGAACGCGAGGTTCGTTAAAATTGAGCTTGACGCTCACCTGAGTTGAACGCGAGGTTCACCTTAGAACGAACGCGAGGTTCGTTAAAATTGAGCTTGACGCTCACCTGAGTTGAACGCGAGGTTCACCTTAGAACGAACGCGAGGTTCGTTAAAATTGAGCTTGACGCTCACCTGAGTTGAACGCGAGGTTCACCTTAGAACGAACGCGAGGTTCGTTAAAATTGAGCTTGACGCTCACCTGAGTTGAACGCGAGGTTCACCTTAGAACGAACGCGAGGTTCGTTAAAATTGAGCTTGACGCTCACCTGAGTTGAACGCGAGGTTCACCTTAGAACGAACGCGAGGTTCGTTAAAATTGAGCTTGACGCTCACCTGAGTTGAACGCGAGGTTCACCTTAGAACGAACGCGAGGTTCGTTAAAATTGAGCTTGACGCTCACCTGAGTTGAACGCGAGGTTCACCTTAGAACGAACGCGAGGTTCGTTAAAATTGAGCTTGACGCTCACCTGAGTTGAACGCGAGGTTCACCTTAGAACGAACGCGAGGTTCGTTAAAATTGAGCTTGACGCTCACCTGAGTTGAACGCGAGGTTCACCTTAGAACGAACGCGAGGTTCGTTAAAATTGAGCTTGACGCTCACCTGAGTTGAACGCGAGGTTCACCTTAGAACGAACGCGAGGTTCGTTAAAATTGAGCTTGACGCTCACCTGAGTTGAACGCGAGGTTCACCTTAGAACGAACGCGAGGTTCGTTAAAATTGAGCTTGACGCTCACCTGAGTTGAACGCGAGGTTCACCTTAGAACGAACGCGAGGTTCGTTAAAATTGAGCTTGACGCTCACCTGAGTTGAACGCGAGGTTCACCTTAGAACGAACGCGAGGTTCGTTAAAATTGAGCTTGACGCTCACCTGAGTTGAACGCGAGGTTCACCTTAGAACGAACGCGAGGTTCGTTAAAATTGAGCTTGACGCTCACCTGAGTTGAACGCGAGGTTCACCTTAGAACGAACGCGAGGTTCGTTAAAATTGAGCTTGACGCTCACCTGAGTTGAACGCGAGGTTCACCTTAGAACGAACGCGAGGTTCGTTAAAATTGAGCTTGACGCTCACCTGAGTTGAACGCGAGGTTCACCTTAGAACGAACGCGAGGTTCGTTAAAATTGAGCTTGACGCTCACCTGAGTTGAACGCGAGGTTCACCTTAGAACGAACGCGAGGTTCGTTAAAATTGAGCTTGACGCTCACCTGAGTTGAACGCGAGGTTCACCTTAGAACGAACGCGAGGTTCGTTAAAATTGAGCTTGACGCTCACCTGAGTTGAACGCGAGGTTCACCTTAGAACGAACGCGAGGTTCGTTAAAATTGAGCTTGACGCTCACCTGAGTTGAACGCGAGGTTCACCTTAGAACGAACGCGAGGTTCGTTAAAATTGAGCTTGACGCTCACCTGAGTTGAACGCGAGGTTCACCTTAGAACGAACGCGAGGTTCGTTAAAATTGAGCTTGACGCTCACCTGAGTTGAACGCGAGGTTCACCTTAGAACGAACGCGAGGTTCGTTAAAATTGAGCTTGACGCTCACCTGAGTTGAACGCGAGGTTCACCTTAGAACGAACGCGAGGTTCGTTAAAATTGAGCTTGACGCTCACCTGAGTTGAACGCGAGGTTCACCTTAGAACGAACGCGAGGTTCGTTAAAATTGAGCTTGACGCTCACCTGAGTTGAACGCGAGGTTCACCTTAGAACGAACGCGAGGTTCGTTAAAATTGAGCTTGACGCTCACCTGAGTTGAACGCGAGGTTCACCTTAGAACGAACGCGAGGTTCGTTAAAATTGAGCTTGACGCTCACCTGAGTTGAACGCGAGGTTCACCTTAGAACGAACGCGAGGTTCGTTAAAATTGAGCTTGACGCTCACCTGAGTTGAACGCGAGGTTCACCTTAGAACGAACGCGAGGTTCGTTAAAATTGAGCTTGACGCTCACCTGAGTTGAACGCGAGGTTCACCTTAGAACGAACGCGAGGTTCGTTAAAATTGAGCTTGACGCTCACCTGAGTTGAACGCGAGGTTCACCTTAGAACGAACGCGAGGTTCGTTAAAATTGAGCTTGACGCTCACCTGAGTTGAACGCGAGGTTCACCTTAGAACGAACGCGAGGTTCGTTAAAATTGAGCTTGACGCTCACCTGAGTTGAACGCGAGGTTCACCTTAGAACGAACGCGAGGTTCGTTAAAATTGAGCTTGACGCTCACCTGAGTTGAACGCGAGGTTCACCTTAGAACGAACGCGAGGTTCGTTAAAATTGAGCTTGACGCTCACCTGAGTTGAACGCGAGGTTCACCTTAGAACGAACGCGAGGTTCGTTAAAATTGAGCTTGACGCTCACCTGAGTTGAACGCGAGGTTCACCTTAGAACGAACGCGAGGTTCGTTAAAATTGAGCTTGACGCTCACCTGAGTTGAACGCGAGGTTCACCTTAGAACGAACGCGAGGTTCGTTAAAATTGAGCTTGACGCTCACCTGAGTTGAACGCGAGGTTCACCTTAGAACGAACGCGAGGTTCGTCAAAATTGAGCTTGACGCTCACCTGAGTTGAACGCGAGGTTCACTTTAGAACGAACGCGAGGTTCGTTTAAAATTTGAGCGCGAGGCTCACCTTAATCCTGAGGTTCGTTAAAATTGAGCTTGACGCTCACCTGAGTTGAACGCGAGGTTCACCTTAGAACGAACGCGAGGTTCGTTGAGCGCGAAGCTCGGTTAAAATTGAACGAACGCGAGGTTCGTTTGAGGTAACCACCTCCTTAATTTTCGCCATGAACCCTTAGGGTTTCAAATTGAAACCGCCGCCGGCCAAACTCAAAAAATCTTTGATTTTTATTTTCAAAACAGATCCAGAATTGGAAAAAATTGAAGAAAAAATCAAAGAAAAATCCAAAAAATTCCAAAAAGTTACTGTTCATCCGGAAAAATACTTTACTGCTCACCCGAAAAAAAATTTCGTTACTGTTCACCGAACATTACTGTTCATCCGAACCCAAAAATTGAATCTTTAACCAGAGATTTAAGATCAAAAAACCCAATAAAAACTTAAATCCCTAAGAATTAATCAATGTGGCTCTGATACCACTTGTTAGATCTTCATCATAAAATTTGAGATCTAAAACCATATAGCCATGATTAATTCAAAGAGATTAACAATAATCTAAAAGGAGCGGAAGCTTATACCTGAATCCATGGATGAACCTTGAGATGGGTTTTGGATCTTCTAACCTTAGGGTTTTCTCTATTAGCCGAATTTCTCTCTTAGATGGGGGTGAAGAGAATTAGAGAATGTAACCCTAGGTTAGGGACCATAACCCCTTATTTATAGATGTTGTACATTTGTAATTTAGCCCCTCAATAAATTACAATTACAACCTGGTATCTGCACATATAACCCCATGACTTATTTAAATACCAAATTAACCCAACTTAATTGATCACTTAGTGGGTTATCCTGAAAGATAGCAATACACATTGATTAATCATATGTGCCCACAAATAGATTTATTAGATTAAATCCAACATCAACTAGATAATCAATAACTGTGATTATATAGTGGTCTCTCCACTATTTTTTTTTATAGTTGAGAGGATCCGAATCCAATAAGTTGGCACTTAGCCTCTGCCACGTGCACTCCATTATTTTAAGTACTGGAAACCAGTGGCGGAGCCACCCTTGTTCAAGGTGGTTCCTTTGAACCACCTCAGTTTTAGAAATAGTCCATACATAATATACATATCAGTAATGTACTCAAAGTTGTTTCTATCCCAGCGGCAATGAGCATGGTATAAAAATAGTTACTTCAGGAGGTCTTGTGTTCAATACTTAGGCCTTTCATTATTGCATTTAGAATCTCAATTTTATTCTTCATTCTTTGTTTTCACTCTACTTTTTTTGCGTCTTAACCTTTTTTTTTCTCTCTTTTCTAAGTTTTACCGGCCTTCTAATCATCATCTTTTTATGAAGATAAGTTAAATTATTGTTTTTATATATTTACTACTGTATTTTCTTCTTTTTGTTATTTTCTCCTCTATTTCTATTTATTCCTATTTATTTCTTGATTTTTCCCCTACGATTAATTAAAATTTCTTTAAGGTTCATTTTGAACCACCACTTAAGAGGTTGTACATCCGCCACTGCTGGAAACTATAGTTATATCTGACGCCATTAACGTAAATCTGGATACAAGCCGAGATTAAAAAAAAACGAAACACGTCTCTTCCATTACAATATGTATGCACGTGAGTTTCTGCACCCCTTCTCCTGTTACGTGCCGATCACAAGAGGAGCTGTTTGCTGTTCTATCAATAGTACGAGGATCTAATCAGGATGTCGGCCGTGCAAGTCCTACTGCCGCCCCATCGGCAGCACGAAGCTCATGATGCCACGTGTCGTGGTCGGTGTCGTGGGACCCCTCCAAGTTTTGGGCTTCTGGTACCGTACTGGATACCCCGCCCAGCGCCCCTCGACTGCTTCTCCAGGCGAATCAGATACACGCAACGTCTAGATCCTTCTCGGTTCGTTTGATATAACTCTCCGCGACTTCCTTGAATAAATTAAGGGCAACTTACTTTGTATAGAGTGCACTCCTCTTTTTTATATTATCAGCTCACAATAACGTGTCATCTCAAATATGCTCACCGGGTCTCTACCGAGCGCGCCGCGGGTGCTGACATGTCAGGCGGTGCAGCCGTGCCCTTCGCCCTCCTCACCCTCCTCGCCGGCCGTCAGCGCTCGCATGACTCCGACTCTTCCGGGCGCCCACCGTTTCCCCGTCGCTCGTATGGTCGGAGGCCCTGCGGAGGTCGCGTCATCACCGGCCTTCTTGAACCGACGTCCGGGCCGTGGTGCCGACGTCCCGACTCTGTGGCCGTCGCTTTCGCTGATGCTCACAGCTTGCTCTCCAGAAGCTTCTGTGCCTGATACGAGATTGCGCTGAGAAAGACGCCCGGTTGTGGATCCTGATGAATGCTGACCGTGTCTTATCGGAGTTCAGGGCTCAAATTCGGGCGATATCCACGGCCCTCGACGTACTTCCCCTCGATTCCGTGGGTGCCGACGAGGAGATGAAGGAGATGATCGGGATGATCACTCGGCAGTCGTGGAAAGTGGAGGTCAGGATCGACCGGGAGGATGACCGGGCAATCAGAGCCGTACGATCGATCCTTGATCTGTTCGAGAGAGGCGTAAGCCCTGACCCAGCTGATCTCCGTCGGCTCCTCTCATACCTGGGCGTAACGGATTGGGACGACTGCAATGGGGCGATCACGTTTATGGAAGAAGAAATCTTCGAGCATTGTGACGACGAGGACAACAATGGCGAAGCTGGCCTCTTGGGTAGCTTGCTTGGGTTGCTGATCTATTGCCGAGCTGTTCTGTTCAACGTCCACGCTAATGTCAACCCGAAGAAGTGCGGCCGGAGAGAAGATTGTCAATTTAATGACGAACGCAGCTTAAATTTCCTCAACCCCGACGTCCTCCGGTGCCCGATCTCTCTTGATCTGATGCTCGATCCCGTGACAATTTCGACCGGGCAGACCTATGACCGAGAATCCATCCTTCGATGGTTCAAGGATGGGCTGGACACCTGTCCGGTGACCGGAGAGAAGCTAAAGCATACAAATAGCGTCCCCAATTCGAGCCTCCAAAAGCTCGTCAGAGACTTCTGCATCCTCAAGAAGATCCCCATCGCCGAGCCAAGCAAGAAGAAGAAGCGCGATCTGGGGAAGACTCTGCACCCTCAGAGCTTAGCAGCTGTTGAAGCTACAAGAATGACCGCGGTATTCCTCGCTGGAAAATTATCCGCTGGCTCTGGAGAAGAGAAGAACAGGGCTGCTTACGAGATCCGATTGCTTGCAAAATCGAGCCTCTTCCATAGAATTTGCTTAGTAGAAGCAGATTGTGTCCCGTGGCTCCTACATCTAGTTTCTTCATCAGACCCTTCAACACAAGACAATGTCGTTGCCGCTCTGCTGAACATCTCCAAACACCCCAGTGGTAGAACAGCCATCTTTGAGGTCGGCGGTGCGAGTCTCATTGTCAACGCCATAACTGATGGCCTCAAGGTTGAGATACAGCAAAATGCGGCTGCAATTCTCTTTTATCTCTCTTCTGTCCGGGAGTATCGGAACTCCCTGGAGCCATACCAGCATTAGTAAACTTGCTGAATAAAGGAACTTACAGAGGCAAGAAGAACGCCATTGTCGCGCTCTTTGGCCTTCTACTGTTCCCTGGCAACCATCCTAGGGTTTTGGCTACAGGAATTATACCGATTCTCATCGATCTGCTGATTGATGAAAGGGAAGATCTTGTTAATGATTGTGTCGGGGTTCTTGCAAAGATTGCAGAGAGAAGAGAAGGAACCAAGATGATATTAAGATCGTCCTCCGATGTGCTTCAAAAGCTTGTTCAGGTACTTCATTCAGCTTCATCTCGCTCTGGAAAAGAGTACTCGGTTTCTTTGATGCTGTTTCTATGTCTCAATGGGGGTCAAAAGGTAATCAAGCAGTTAGACGGCTTGCCACTGTTGATGCCTTCGCTGTATTCTATCATCGCTGGAGGGCCACCACAAGCTTCGAAGAAGGCGAGAACGCTGATCAATCACATTCATCAGATTTATGATCAAGATCAAGATCAAGATCAAGATCACTCCATTTCTGCGCTCACTTCGCCATTGCATGATCAGATGGTTCATGCTCTCTAGTCTGTATATGTAAATTTGGTCTACTTTTTTTTGTGATCCCAGCTCGAAATTTTTACACAGAGCTGAGATATATGTAGTGTGATATAGACATACAAGAGTGTATATATGTACAAAATGTAAGGCTTGCGATTTTTTGATGTATATATTCGTAATAATTAAAGACTGTTCGGACAAATTTCATTCAGTTTCAGATAAAGGAATTCTGATGTGATGTGTTTCATTCTCTCTGGTTGAGATTTCGAGTGCATTTTCTAACCCTGATCACCTGCTCTATTGAGGGGCGTTGCTGTTTAAGCGAGGTACATGAGGGAGCTAGCTTGAAAACAAGCTCAAAAGTCTTTACTGAGAAATCTTCATCGAGTCTGGCATGGCAAATTCAGAAATATTACCACCTCTTGTAAGCAGTTTACCCTAACAAAACAAAGGAACATATACACCGATAGTTGAGAAATATTTGACAGTAATCAAGGACAAGATTTAAAAGGGTTAGTTACTAGCTAGCTCACCATTTCATGAAGAGATACAGGCTGCAAAAAGTTTAAGTTAACAAGTCGCTTGCCTGAAATAATTTGTAACAGTACCGAAGCTGTACACATCACCAGCAGCATTAACATGGTGGTCTTGACGATATTCAGGATCTACATACCCAAATGTGACTCTCACTTCAGAGCTTACGTTTGAAACGTCGAGAGGTCCATCACTTTAGACGAGCCAAAGTCTGACAACTTTGCTTCAAAATCATCTCCTGGAAGACTACTGGTTGGCTGCAGGAATTTAGTTACAGAGCAGTTGAGAAAAAGAAATTCAGAAGCCCAAAATACAGATATCTGCGTTTCTTTCTCCTAAAAGAAACAGTAATATGCTATTGTGCGCCGCGGAAGCCGATTCGGCAAGTCAATAGCACACACAAGAACCAAAATAGATCACAATAGCCACAAGCAACCCAATCACAGCAAGAACACAAGATATACGTGGTTCGGCAATGTGCCTACGTCCACGGGACAAGGAGGGGGAAGTTTTACTAATGAAAATCAAGGGGAATACAAATTAGGGTTACAAATCTTACCACAAACCCTCAAACAAGACCTCTTCATCTCTCCAAATGACTTCAACAATGGAAGCCCTCTAAATCCCCTTTCATATAAGTATATATAAGTATATATAAGTACAGGGCCGGCCCTGGGGTAAGCCCACCAAGCCCCGCGGCTGGGGCAACCCGGGCCAAAATCTAGGGTTTTAGAACTCAGAAGGGGGGTGCAAAAAAACTTAGAAAGGGGAGAGATGAGCAGGGGGCTAGGGATCCCGGTGAAGCTCCTCCACGAGTCGGCGGGCCACGTGGTGACGGTGGAGCTCAAGAGCGGCGAGCACTACACAGGGAGCATGATCGAGTGCGAGGACAACTAGAATTGCCAACTCGAGAACATCACTTTCACTGATAGGGTGTGTTTTTCTTAATCTCAATTCCATCGTGTTTCCCCCCTTTGTTGGATCTTTTAAATTTGCTATAGAGTGGTTGATAATTTTATTTCACTTATATCTTATTAAAAGCCAAATCGCTATTACTAAATTGACAAAGGCATGAAGCAAAGGGGTTAGTGTAAGAAAGAAATAAAGTAGAAAGAGGTCAATTAAAGAATCTATTCGATTCTATTCCTATGTCACTTTCTGAATAAATTTTTCCATGAAATATTTCTTACATAAATAACAAGAATCAAAATGCCTATAATGGTAGCTAAATAGGTGCCTTAGCAAATAAGATTTTGTCCTAACATGTTTGAACTTGGATTCAAGTGTTTCTGGATATGGTAACTATACTTCACCTAACATAATTAGAATATACACAACGCCTGCCACAAATTTCTTCCTGATCTAAATCAGAACCTGAATAGTAAAGTGAACCAGAACAGGATTAGGATATTCAGTAAGTTTCTTTTATAATATCATAATAACTGTGAATTTATAGCATATTCGAAGTCACAAGTAACTCAGCCTCTCGCACAGACGACCGAAAACACTTTCACAAGGGATGGAATCAGTCAAGTAGTTAGTGGGGTCAATTCTTATAACATCTTTATGGAATCAGTTGCAGGTTTGCTGATACTAAACCTTCAGTATACATCAACATATTAGTAAAACCGTGTCCTGTCATGATCAATTCTCATATGTAACGATGTTGGGTAATTATTATGAAACTCCCTTCAGGTTTGTCACTTTATATAAATTTTATGAAAGTATCACCACTTTAAAGCGAAAAATAAACTATTGGAAAGAACATATATTGCTCTTTCCAAAAGTTTCTGCTATTTTGTTATCTCGTCTTTTAAATTTGTTCTACTGCACTCATCTTAACATTTCGTTCAATCTTGTTCCTCTTGTCTATGAACACCATTGGTTAACTCTCCTTGTAGCTATTTAGCTATGGTTGTTTCGTATCAATCATAGTGTTTTCCTTCTGGAGCTTTTGTCGTGTCAGTTTTTTTGTTTAATCTGTAGAATTTCAAACTTTTGTTACTTTGTAGGATGGAAACTTGTCACAACTTGAGCATGTTTTCATCAGAGGCAGCAAGGTCCGGTAAGTTCATCATGGCTATTATTTTATCTTATCATACAAAATACCAACATATATCAGTGTTATACAACTAATTTGGGCTGATTTCTACAGGTTCATGGTCATTCTTGATATGCTAAAGAATGCTCCTATGTTCAAACGTTTGGATGCCAGAATTAAGGTGTGCAATGTGTATTCTTGTTTATCTTTGCTATAAAGTATTAACTATGGCTGAGGGCAGGGGCGTAGCCAGAAATTTTTTTTTCCCTGGCGAAAAATAAAGGGTTTCGGAGATGATGCAGTGAGGGAGTCGGAGATGATGCAGTCAGGATTTCGGTCGACGATGATGGGCTCGAGGAGAGGGCGGAAGAGGCGGAGGGAGACGATGATGGGCTCGAGGAGAGGGCGGAAGAGGCGGAGGGAGCCGGTGAAGGTGTCGAAGAGGGAGGAGGGGATCGAGGAGAGGTTCTCTTTGCCGAGGAGGAGGTGGGTCTTGTTGGGGGAGGGGAGGGCGACAGTGACGATTGAGAGCTTGGGGGAGGAGGTGAGGACGGTGGCGGCATTGGCGGGAGTGGTGACTAGGGTCGCACGGACGCCGCAGGAGGAGAAAATGACGGCCATGTCGACCATCGGGATGAAGTGGCCTGGACTCATTAAGGGGAAGAAGAGGATGAGGAGGGGTTTCTCGGAATTTGAAGCCATAGTTAGACTGCAGGATTATAAATCAAACCAGTTTAAAGATTTTTGTATGTTGTCCATACTTAATAGAAGAACAAGTAAATATTTAAATCCTGCAGTCTAAAGATTTTATGGACAACATACAAAAAGCTTAATGGGGGTATTATATATGTTAACTTTCTTGCCCTGGGCAGCTGCCCAGGGCAAGCTCTATGTGGCTCCGCCACTGGCTGAGGGTGCTAGATTTTCTCATTCTGTTTTGTTTTTTTAATGCGGGGTAAGGGTTCTTCTCTTGGTGTTGGCCGTGGCCGTGCTGTTGCTATGCGTGCCCGACCCATCCCGGGTTAGTTCTATTTTGTTAATAGACCTATTTTCCTTTGTTACTCAAATAGCCCTACAAATGCAGCTATTAACACATACATCACTTTGCTAGAAAAGAATTTTGTGACTGCAACTATTATGCATCTTCCTATCTTGTCATCTATTTTTTTAATTCGATTAAGGTATTAGAAGACATATATCACTTTAGATTACACATGAACTTTTATTCTGTTGGTATCTTAAGATGGGTTCCCATCATAAGAAGTATCACGTACTGTATTGTAGTAGGTTGATAATCTGGAATTTGTAAGCATCTATAAGCTCTGGTTTATAGTAACGTCATCTATTTTCTTATATGAATATTGATTTTGCAAGAGAATATTATCAGTTTGAGCCCAATATAGAACGCTAAATGGTGTTATATGTATTCATTTTTATCGTTATTGTTCGTACTAAATTTTTAATATAAAGGGCAACCAAAATTGGATTGGGCTAGGACAACCCAAACCTCGGGGCCGGCCCTGTATAAGTATACTCTCTCTTATATAAGTATATATATGTATAAGTATATATAAGTATACTCTCTTTTATATAAGTATATATATGTATAAGTATGTTCTCTCTTAATACATGTATAAGTATATATAAGTATACTCTCTTATATATGTATGAAATATGTATAAATATATATAAGTATGCTCTCTCTTAATATAAGAATATATATAAGTATATTCTCTCTTATATATGTATATATCTCTTATATAATTATATATATGTATAAGTATCTGCAGGGCGCTGTACAAGGAGAAAAGTACAGAAGGGTTTTGAAGAAAAATTGCAGCAGTCATTCCTTTGTTTCTTTGTGTTTGAGCAGCCCTTTATTAAGGGTTTTGTGCATCCCTTTGAGAGAGCTTTGTGAGGGATTTGAGAGTTTGTGTGAGGGTTTTATTTGTGAGATTCTTGTGTAAACCCTATTTGTATTCTCTCCCTCTATTAGTAGATCTCCCCCCTCCTTGCCCCGTGGACGTAGGCAATTTGCCGAACCACGTAAAAATTGGTTGTACTGTTTTTGTGTGATTTGTAATAGCTTTTAGGGTCCCTCGACGCGCAGTCCTAGAGCTGACGAGAGGAAGAGCTAATATCCCACTTTGATGGGATATTAGGCTTCAGATTCTTGTTCCCTTTGAGAAACAAGAATTCTTATTGCGATCTAACTCTCTTGTTGTGCTGCCGAAGTGCTGCCGAAATTTTCGCTGCGCGCAACAAGTGGTATCAGAGCCCAGATTTTAGATCTAGGATTTTTTTTGGTGGAGGAAGATTTTGTGTGAAGCTTGGTTCTTGGAGTTCTAGGCTTCGGTGGAGATAGCATTAGGAGTTGCCGTTGGAGATTTCGCTTTCCTCGTGTGGATAGGAGATCTATTTAGAATCCGATCTAGGGTTCAGTTGGGTGGTTCCTAATTTTTATCAAATTTGTTCTTTCTCTATAATTTGGAGTTAGTTTGCAATGGGAGAAGAAGGTGAAAGCAGCAAATCGATGGCGAGTACAATACAAGTTGGTTTTCAGAACACTAAAATTAGTGTGGTGAAGTATGATGGCAAAATCAACTTTGGTTTGTGGA